ATCTACAGCAATATTAGAGAAAGTGTGCAGAATGCCTGATTTGCTGTGCTATCAGAAGTCCTTGGGTGCATACTGCCTGACACAGTCTTTACAAACCAAGGGCTTGAGTCTGAAGAGATGGCTCAGCATTTAAGAGCACTGGCTGCTCTTGCAGAGGGCCCTGGTTTAGTTCCCAGCACCCACATGGCAGCTAACAACCATCCACAACTCCAGTTCCAGGGGATTTGATGCCCTCTTCTGACTTCCTTGGGCATTGTATGGCATGGATTCACTTACATATATGCAGGCAATACACTCATACACATTAAAAAAAAAAAAAAGCAGGGCTGAGGAGATTGCTCAGCGGTTAAGAACACTGGTTGTCCTTGCAGAAGACCTAGGTTCGAATCCCAGCATCCACACAGCAGCTAACAACTGTCCGTAACTCCAGTCCCAGAGGATCCGACAGCCTCTTCTGACCTCTGTGAGTATTGCATGACATGGGTGCACTTACCTACATGCAAGCAATACATGCATACACATAAAATGAAAATAATGAATAAAATTTTCTTAAAAAACAAGGGCTGACACGTTAAAGCACTTTCTAGCATACTTAAAGCACCAAGTTCCATCCTCAGCACTTCGAAAAGAAGAGAATGGAAAAGAATTCACACAGCTAGAGATTTTTTTCTTCTTCATTTTTTTTATTAGTTCTTTGAGAATTTCATATAATGTAGTTTAATCATATTTACTCCCTCTCCCAACTCCTCCCAGGGCCACACCCTCTTCCCTACCCACCCAACTTTGTGTCCTTAGTTTGTTATTAGCCCTTTGATTCCACTTTGTGCTACCTGTCTAGGGTGTGTGGCCATCCACTGGAGTGTGGTTGACCTACCACAGGCCATACTCTTAAAGAAAAGGAAACTGACTCTTCCTCCCAGCCTGCTATCAATTGCCAACAGCTTCTCAGCTAGAAGTGGGACATTATGCCCACCTCCCCTCTCCATCCTGGGATTTTTTCCTGTCTTGAGCTTGCACAGGTCTTGGATATACTATTACACCTACTGTGATTTCATATATGCCACTGCCCTGTTGTGTCTGGAAAACAGTTTCCTTATAGTCATCTATTGCCTCTGACTCTTACAATCTTTCCTTCCCTTCTTCCACAATGACTCCTGAGTCTTGGGAGGAGAGAATGTGATATACATATTCCATTTAGGCCTCTGCACTCCATCACCTCTAGCTCGCTGCACTTTGACCAGATGTGAGTCTTTGTGTTAATTGCAATTCGCTATCAAAAGAAGCTTCCCTGATTAAGGCTGAAAGATGCACTAATTTATTGGTATAACAATAGTCATTACGAGTCTACTTAATACTATGTCCATTTAGCAGAATAATCGTAGCATATTGTGTCCTGTGGCCTATGATCTGCAGAGTCACATTTTGAACCCAGAAACTCAAATATACAGATTCAGTTCAGATATATCTAAATAATATCTGCAAGTGTAGGAGAAAGCATGTCTTTGGGGGAATGATGGGATGGACATTACCTGGTTTGGCATCTAGTAATTTGTATTGTTTCCTGGCCTATTCAGTGCCTTATTCTTGTAAAAAAAAATAGTAAATTAATCATGAAATAGTAAAATTTGATACAAAAGAGTTACCTGGTAAATATCCTGATGTAATATCCTACTATATGCTATGCATTTATTCATGAGAAAATGAATAAATTTTACTTCTTTCTTCTTTTACTTTACATTTGAAGAATTATGGAGGACAAAAAAACTTTCATAGCTACTAATATTCTTTAAAAAGATGATTTCTATAAGCAACCCAATAGAAGAAAAACTTGAAAAGAATATAATTTCAGTAACTTTTGAACATTTTTAAAAAATATTTTATTTAGTATGATTTTTATTTTATGTGTGTGTTTTGTCTGCATGTACATAAGTGTACCCATATTGTGCAGTGTCCATGGAGGTCAGAAGAGGGTCTCAGATCCCCTGGAACTGGGGTTATGGATGGTTGTTAGCCACCATGTAGGTTTTAGGAATTGAACTCGAGTCTTCTGCAAGAGCCACCAAGTTAAGTGCTCTAAACTGCTGAGCAGACTTGAACATGTTCTTTAAAAAACTCAATCAATGGGACTGGAGAGATGGCTCAGAGGTTAAGACCACTGGCTGTTCTTGCAGAAGACCCGGGTTTGAATCCTAGCATCCCCATTGCAGCTAACAACATTTCATAACTCCAGTTCCAAGAGATCAGACACCACTTCTGTCCTCCATGGGCACTGCACCACATGGGCGCACTTACACACATACAGGCATAAATAAATTTTTTAAAAATTTAAAAACTCAGTATGGTGGTCATATATGTGTGCATGCGTGGGTATGTGGTATATGCATGTGTGTGAATGCGTGTCTGCTGATACATACATGTGTAGAGGTTGATGTCAGAGTATCAGTTTCTTCCTCCAAAGCTGTGTGCCTGATTTTTTGAGACAGTCTCATTGAACCTGGAGCCTACCAATTGGCTTCACTGGCTAATCAGTGAGCATGTCCCACTACCCAATTCTCCTTTATCCACCTCCTCCTAGCACTGGAATTACAAATACATGCTCCCATGAGCAGCTTTTACATGGATGTTGGAGATATGAATTCAGGTCATACTGAGTCATCTTCCCACCCAGTGTTCATATATTTTAAAGTAAAACAATTATGTAGCATAAGATTTCAATTACATATATGATTAGGAGGACTCTGGGACACATTTTTTAAATTAGTGCCCAGCATCACCCACCCAGGGCTCAGGGACCATTGCAGAAGAGGGGCCATAAAGTTTGTAAGAGGCAGGGGGGGATGTGCATGACCATATGGCAATAGATCCTTACAGCATCCTGGGACCTTGCTCATATAAGCCTACAGCAATGGTGTCAGCATGCACAAGACCCATGCAAAGCCAAGCAAACAAAACCCCAGAATAGAACTGGGGAAATAGGCAGCAGGCCCCAACCTTAACTGAAGAACTATTAGCAACTGATAACTGCTGGGTGAGGAAGAGTTTATCTTCTTTAAGGGAAAGAATCTAGATAGGCACACTAGACCCCAGTGGATGAACTTGCACTGAGGGACCTCTGGGTACACTAACTTGGCTCAGTAGGCCTTAACATATTTGACAGAATGCATGAAATCCAGTGGGGGAGCTATTGGGGGTGCAGATGGAGGAGGGGATATAAAGATGATTAAGGTGTTCTATGTGAAATATATAAAAATTCAATAAAAATACATGTTAAAGAGCAACTTTAGAAAATTTTAAAAAATTCTCATCTTAATTTCACTCTGTGAATCAACTGAGCTGATATTTTACTTCTTAAAAGCTAAGAGTCTTCTGAGAAAGGTCCCAGGAGCTTGTAGGACTCTATTTCCGTATAGTCATGTACCTCCTCCCTGCCTCTTACACTCCATCTTCTGCAATGATCCCTGAGCCCTGGGTCGGATAAGTTTAATATAGGAGTCCTGTCCAAGGACCCACACCCTGAAGACTCTATTCTCTATACTTTGGCCATTTGTGATCTTTTGTGTTCCTGGCCCTCTGTTGAGAGAGGGAACTTCATTGATGAAAATTGAGAGATTCATTAGTGTCCTCTTTATCCCTTGTTCTATGTTTGGTGAGCCTTAGGTTGCATGTGCTGTCAGCATGAACAATACCTATGTAAACTCAAACAGACAAAATCCAAGCACAGAATTATGGAAATGTGCATCAGACCCCAGTCTTATTCAAAGATTATTAGCAACCAATTACTGCTGGATGAGGAAGAGCTGATCCTCTTAATTGGAGGGACTCTAGATAGGCTGCCTAGGCCCTAGTGGATGAATTTGTGCTGAGGGATGTCTGGGCACACTAACTTGACAAGGTAGGCCTAACACAAATGACAGAATGTATGAATTCCAGTGGGGGAGCTGTGCAAGGGTGCCAATGGGGAAGGAGGTATATGGATGATCATGATTATGTTGTTATGTGAAATACACAAAAATTGAATAAATTTTGTTTTTAAAACAAAAAATATCATTAAAAAACTAAGAGTCACCAGGCATGGTGGCACACGCCTTTAATCCCAGCACTCGGGAAGCAGAGGCAGGCGGATCTTTGTGAGTTCAAGGCTAGCTTGGTCTACATAGTGAGTTCCAGAACAGCTGGGGCTACAGGGAGACCCTGTCTCTAAAAAACCAAAAAAAAAAAAAAAATACTAAGAGTCTTCTATGAGAACCGTAATCCTCATGTAAATGAAGCACTGTAGGCTGCGCCTGCAGCTGAGGGGTAGAGGGCTTGTCTAGCAGGAGCAAAGCCCTAAATTCCATCCCCAGCACCTGAAGATAATTTACATAAATGAAATATTCTTTGCTTTGCATTTGAGATATTATTTAGATACATTGGAGATCTATATTTGAATTTTGGAAATTGAAATAAAATTTCTAGCTATGAATTTACTTTTTAAAATACTTTTTATTACAGTTGTGTGTGTGTGCACATGTGTGTGTGCGTGTGCATGCGTGTATGTGTGTATTTGTGCATACCGTATGTCTGGGCGGAGGTCAGAGGGCAGTTTTGGGAGTTATCTCTCTTCCACTATGTGGGTTCTGAAGTTGAAACTCAGATTGTCAGGCTTGACAAAAGATGGCCTTAACCAGCTGAGCCATCACACCTGCCCATTTTGTTTGTTTTCTTGTTTTGCAGTGCTGAGGATAGAATCCTGACCTTGTACATGCTAGGCAAGATCTTTACATCCTAGTCCTTGGTTTATAAAGACTATGTCAAGCAATATATAACCCAGACAGGTCTTGAACTCTTATTCATCCTGACTTCACCTCTGAAGGGTAGGAATTATAGGGATGTGCCATCATGCCCAACCTTATATTGAGAATTCTTGATTGGCCTGCCACAGGCAACTGGCTTTTCCTTAGGGGTTAGCACTCCAGTTGATTCATTTGGACAAGAAGATAATAGTGCTCTTGTCTTTACAGAACTGCCTAGAAATCTTGTGTAGGCATGGAGGGCTAGAGCCGGAAAAGAGAGACAAGTGCAATCGGACTGTGCATGATGTTGCCACTGATGACTGCAAGCATTTGCTGGAGAATCTGAGTGAGTGATGTTCCAGCCTATTCATCCTTCCATACCACTGGGGCCTCTGGAACAATGGGAATGTATCAGCACAGATAAAATTTATTCAGCCTTCTCTTTTGAGCTACAGTTATTACAGAAGCTATTTATTTATTGTACATGTGTTCATTTCTTTTTTCCATGTAGAATGACTTTATAGAAGTCCTTGCTTTTCAAATAGTGCTAGATCTTACTAACCTGGGAGATCACAACCTGGAAGAGCAATCTCATGATGATTCACGCTCATTCATCTGTCCGTCTGTCTGTCTCTCTCTCCCTCTATTTCCCCCTCTCTCTCTCTCTTTTTCTTTTACATTAGAATAGCAGGTGAAAATGCCAGCTGTACACTCTGCATCAGCTATTCCTATGAGCCTGGCAAGGGTTTGTCCCAGCACTTGGTTACTTACCAGTCTTTCACATAATTGATGATCTCTTGGGTCCCCTCCAGCTCTACAAGTATATGCTCCTCAGCACATTTTATGAAAGGTTCTTTTGTGGGCATATGAATGTGGAATGCTAGATCATAGAAAATATTATGATATGTTGATGATCACTCAATCCACTCATTCAACCAGCTGTTTCAGTAATTGATCTTTAGGATAAGTAGACTTTTTACATCTAAAATAGTATTTTAACCTTTCATTTTCTAGGTAGACGTGTAGCCTTCCTCCCTCTCTCCCATTTCTCCTTTCCTCCCCTATCCCTCTCTTCCCATCCCTTCCTCCACTCCCTTCTCCTTCCCTCTTCTCCTCTTCCCCCAACCCCTGTTTCCAAGCAGGGTCTCTCTTTGTAGCCTTGGTTCACCTGAAACTCACAATGTATACCAGGCTGGCTTCAAAATCACAGTGATCCTCCTCCCTCAGCCTTCACGGTACTGGGATTACAGGTATAAGCTATCAGAGCTATTTTAGATTTGTATTCTTTGATTTCATGAAGAAAATTAGGGTAAGAAAGAATTTGTTCAAACGACAAGGTTATGTTTATATAAAGAAATAAAAATCATAGAAATCCTCCTCAAATCTGAGGTCTTGATTTTAACAAGACATTTTTATCAGTGTGACCCAGCTTTATAAAATTTAAAGTTTTGAATCTATCTTCACTTGCTGAAGAATTGTGTTTTATAACCTTTCTTTAAGAAATAATAGTGATACTTTTATTAGCACATTTTAGCTTTTTATAACTCAACCCATTTGTCAGAATGAAATTAATTTTTATCACTTATTGAAATTCTTTTTATACTAAACATTAAAATCAGAAGCAGTAATATAGATAGCTGTGGTTTATTGGATGTGAAAGAAAAGGATCAGGTTGGCCTGGCCGAAAAGAGGTGGGGAATTGAAGGGTTAGACATGATAGTGGATATTTTGAACCATTTAGTACTGACTAGTGAGGTTTCTTAGTTTTGTTTTTTGTCTTTGAGACAGTGTTTTGCTACATTATGGAGGATGACCTCGTGATCTCAATCCCTCTGTCTTAACAACTTGAATGCTAGGCTTATGGGTGTGTATCCAATATTATTATTACATTCTTGACTGCGTACATGATTAAAATGATATTTTAGAATTGTAGGTATCTTTGTGTGGGACAAATCAACCTGTAAAGAGTACAGAGTTCTACTCCATATCAAGAAATTTTAACTCTCAAAACTTGAGAGACTGTGGCAGGAGGATGATGCATTTAGGGGCAGCCTAGGTGGCATAGTGAGTTCAAGATCCTGTCTAAAATTACATATGAGCCAGGTATCCAGAGATGGACAAAGATAGTGGACATGGAAATGGTAGGAAATGAGTGGAGGAATGAAAAATTCTGAGAGAAGGAATTAAAGATTCCAGTTTAGTGGAATATAGATTTTTTTTTTAAGTATGTTCTAATGATTCTCTGAATTTCCTCAGTGTTTGTTATAATGTTTCCCTTTTCATCTCTGATTTTATTCATTTCAATTCTTTCTTTTTTTGGTTAATCTGGCTACAAGTCTGTTTTATTAATCTTTTCAAAAAAATACTTTTAATTGATTCTTTTTAAATTTAATTTATTTTTATTTTATGTGTATGTGTATTATGCCAGCATGTAGGTAAAGGCACTCATGTCATACAGGGCCTGAGGAGGACAAAAGAGGGCATCAGATCCCCTGGAACTGGAGTTATGAACTGTTGTTAGCCACCATGTGGGTTCTGGGATTTGAACCTGGGTCTTCTGCAGCCCTTAACTGTTTCTTTATGATTCTTTATATTGCTTTTGTTTGTTTGTTTGTTTGTTTGTTTGTATTTGTTAATTTCAACCCTGATTTTATCTTTTTATCTTTCCTGCCAACCTAC